TAACTAGTCATAAAAGAAAAATCTCTAACTTTAAATCTACCCATGCACTGGTCCTCAAATTTTTACCAGAGTTCACACATGCTAAGATTAGTCCACCACAAAAATTTCATAATTTTTGAGCACAGGAACTCTAGATATAAAATAAACAAATTTGAATGCATTCAAAAGCACATTTGAAATCCCTATTTAAATCTCCAGAAATTTCTACTGTTGAAACCAAGAACATATTTTTCCAAAATACTACACTTCCTAAGAAACACAATCATATTTATTTCACCATTTTAGGAGCTACCAAACTAAAGATACAAAAATAACAAAACAAATCAAAAACTGGATTCAAAATGAGTTAGCCTACACTACTTACATGTCACGACAGTGGGACCCACTGGTCAGGGGACCCCACGCGTCGAGTGACACGGAGCAGGGCAGCGGCGCCACACAGTGTCAAGGCTGCCGAGCTCGCCAACGGCGAACTTCGCCCGGCGGTGACATCATCACACGATGATCTACTCGACTTCGCGCATCGATTGAGCTACTTGGGTGGCTTTCTCGCATCGGAGCTAGCGGCTACGGCGGCGCGGCCATGGCGGGGGTGGAGGTGCGGGTCGACGGTGAAACGCCGGTGTGGGCTACGGTGGTTCAAATCAACGCGTGGACAAGCATCTATGAACGCTGGGGACCTAGCGCGCTAGCTACCGGAGCGGGAGGAGTATCAGGCGTGGCCCACGCGACGACCAGGGCTCACGGCGGAACTCCGGCGAGCCTACACGCTACCGCGGTGGCTTACCGGGCTTTGTCACGAACACGGGGAGAAACAATGGGTGCTGGGGAGACGGTGGAGCTATCACGGTGGCGAAGGAGCAGCGAGGGACGAGCTGGTGACGGCTATGGCGATGGCGGAGGTGCGGGCCGAGCTCACTGTCATTCAAGCGGCGAGGAAGACGGAGTAGAAAATGGGAAATGAAGCGCGGGCGACTCGGGCGAACGCCGGCGGGGTTAAAAAAGCGGCCACGGCGCGCGCGCTCTGGGTCGTATGAGAAGGCGGCGCGCGCGCATCGTCGTCGGGACACGCGGCGCGCAAACTCGTTCCGGTCGGCCATCAAGAACGGGCGTTTGAGTTTGTCGATCGTTCGATGGCCACTGACAAACAAGGCTTTTCTCGTTGATTTACCGGCTAAACGGTGGCTCCTTCGTGCAAACTTACTCAATAGAAGTTGTAGAACCATGTACCATCTCCAACTCTTGTTAAGGCAGCATACTCTAATTCGCAACCTAAACCGAGTAAAATCATGCTCAAAGTAGGCTTGTCAGTGACGGGGGTTTCACGACTTAGCAAATTTCGTTAAGTGTTGAAATCGAGGATTTTGATGATTCTTGTGATCCAATTTCAAACATGTTAGGAGCTGAATCATGTGATGACCCAAAATAAAAGTTGTTCCTTATGTCAAACACTACAACATTGCTTTAGTGAACTCCTCCATGCAAGGTCTCTAACACCTAGTTCAACTTTAGTCAAACATGTCACTTTGAAATCATGATACATACACAAACCAGGGGCTAAATGACCAAACTAGCCTTAGCACTAAATACCAAAGTTGTTCCTAATGATATCCTAAGCATGTTTAAACAATTTGCAAGGTCATTTAAGCATTTCATGTAGTAGTCACTCATATAGCTATTCAGGTCAACACATGAAATATCACTTAAGTGCTTGATCATGAAATGTGGCCTTCATGAACAATGTTTCTTTTGTTAACCTAAGTGTAGCTAAAGTGTTATAGTGACCAACATTACACACTAGCATTTATTTGCACATGATCATATGCATATGTTCCAAGAAATACGAGATAACAAGCAATGTTTCATATGTTTCGATCGAATGTTTCAATTGTAAATGATGATTTATGAATGCTTGATGCTCATGCTTATGTTATGCAAGTCAAGTTATGCAAGGCTAACACCCGAGGTGTTACAAACAGCACGGAATGTAAACAGTACAAAACACAGCAGTATTAGAAAACAATTCTTGTGAACAATATTAAACAGTGGGAATAAAGAGATGTCTACACTATAACACAACCTACACTAGTACACAAATGGGTTTTAATCCCGGTTGAGAACTAGCTTTTAGTCCCGGTTTTTGAACCGGGATTGCGGATCTGGGACTAAAGGCCGGGACCTTTAATCTCGGGTCACGCAACCGAAACAAAAGCTCATCCTCGGAACAAAAAAAATAGTTTAAATCCTGGGAGACCTACCTTGCGGTGCATGAGATTCTAACACAAAACCCCTTGTCTCATGCGTAGCTTCCTTACTAACTCAACTGCACACCACATGTGATAAAATCCTAGGCGCTCTCCTTTTGAATTCACCCGTGGCGGACCTTTTGTCCCGGATGGGAGACCTTTAGTCCAGGTTGGTGACACCAACCAGGACTAAAGGGTGGCTTTTAGTCCCAGTTGGTGTTACCAACCGGGATAAAAGGGTCTTTGGCACTACTACAGGAATTTAACCATGGCGGGCATTTTGGGTTACCCGAGGCGGTTTTCGCAACCGCCTCGGCCGAAAGGTCACGGTTAATCATGGCCTTAACCGAGGCGGTTGCCTACTCGCCTCGGTTAATTGAAAAAAATCAAAAAAAGAAAAAGCCCAGATCCAACCCTAATTGGGCTTCGATCTGAGCCTGGCTCTGCCGCCCCTGCGCGCCGCCGCCGTCGCCACCGGGGGAGCCATGACCCGCCGCGCTCCGCGTCCGCGTCCACGCCGGCAACACGCCGCGCGCCCGCAGCCGCCGCGTCCGCGCCAGCATCACCACCACGCAGATCCGCTGCCGCCGCAGTAGATCCGCCATGGGTGTAGGCAACCTCGCGCGCCACCGCGGATGGGGGCCGCCGCCCTGGATCCGCGCCGCCAGGAGGAGCGCCGCCGTCGGATCTGGCTACTCCAAAGCCAGATCCGCCACCAGGAGGAGCGCCGCCCCCGGATCTGGCCGCTCCCCCGCCAAATCCGCCACTAGGAGGAGTGCCGCCGTCGGATCCGGCCGTTCCACCATCGGATCCGCCACTAGGAGGAGCGCTGCCGCCGGATCCGGCCGCTCCACTACCGGGAGGAGCGCCACCGCCGGCCCGATGCGCCGTTGTGTGGGGGAGGAGGGTGCCGCTAGGCCGTGCGACGAGGGAGGAGGTGAGGCGCGCGCATCGGCCTGCTGCGCCGCTGCGTGGGTGAGGAGAGGGGCGCCATGCCTTGCGATGAGGGAGGGAGGGAGGGAGAGAGAGAGGGAGGAGGGGAGGCGGGTGCGCCTCTATGGAGGGAGCGCCGCCTACGCCGCTGGAGAGAGGGTGTCGGGCTGGAGAGACGGCTCAGTGGGGAGAAGTCAGTGAGAATGAGTTGTGAAACCTTAGAGTCCCATATATATACTCCGAGGGATAAAGCGGGCCGAGATGGGCTTTTCTGAATCGGAGTGGGCTTGGCCATATTAACCGAGTCGGGCCTTATAAGATGCCCGCCTAGGAAAATCAGGCCATTTTCCGAGGTGGGCCTCTGTTAATATGTTTAAGGAGGCGGTAACCGCCTCGGTTAATCTAGGCATTAACCGAGACGGTTTAAAAGCCTGCCCACCTCCGAGTCCTATTTGCAAACGCTGCGCAAAAGATTTTGTGTAGTAGTGTGGTGCCTGTAAAATTTAGAACCGAGACTAATGCTAGTCCTGGACCCCAATACAACCGAGACTAAAGGTGCGAACCGAAAGTCGTTTCTCTGCTAGTGCTACCTTTGTGGACACCTTTTAATGTAGCCAAAAGGTATCTTTCCTAACAAATAGCCTCCCACGAAAAGTAGGTCACGGTGCAGTGCCAGTAAATAGTGAATGTGCCTTAAGTGAACAGCATACAAGTGGTCATAAACAGTAGATGAATAGTTCCTAAAGCCCTCACCGGCCTTCATTTTAGGGCATGTTTGATATATATATATGATTAATCACTAGTTAAGGTTAAAAATTAGTTTGAATTAGTCGTAATTGACTAGCTAGCTAACTAACAATCAGTTAAAGACTTGGTTAAACAATTAGCCTATCTGTTAGCTCTCCTGTTTGATACATAAAAGTTAATTGCTAGCTATCTATTAGCTCACGTATCAAACTGGAGGGAGTTAATTAGACAGGCAATGAATCAAATACGACGAATGTCACTAATAATTACCATATCTTTTTGTCGGACCCCTCGCATGCAGATCGGACTCCAATGCACGTGCTCCACAGTGTCAGAAAACAATTCTTTTGAACAATATTAAATAGTGGGAATAAGGCAACGTCTAGTAAAAAGTGTCCGAAGCGATCAGTAGCATACAAGCACTGCTCATGAACAGTGGATGGACACTGCCTAAAGTCCTCACCGGACTGTGTTTGAGAGCACGTTTGATACGCACGGCTAATTACTAGTTGGACAAAAATTAGTCTAAATTAATTTTGATTGGCTAGCTAGTTTTTACTAACCACTAGTTAAAGACTTGGTTAAAGAATTAGCTCACCGATTAGTTCTCCTGTTTAGATACCCAGAGCTAATCTTAGTTAATTTTTAGCAAACTACTCATAGCAATTAACTCACGTATCAAACAAGCACTACGGGATACAGTTGCTTTGCCGAGTGCCAGGGACACTCGGCGAAGCCCAAAAACACTCAGAGCAAAAGTTTGCCGAGTGTTACGCTCGACAAACGACACTCAGTAAATTGTTTAACGGCAAACGGTCTTTGCCGAGCTAATCTTAGTTAATATTTACCATATCTTTTTGTCGGACCCCTCACATGCAGATCGGACCCCAATGCACGTGCTCCACGCCCATCCCTCACATGCGGATCAGACTCCACCAGTTCCGATCCGCATATCCCACCATGCAATGATGCAAAGCAGTAACACCCTCTATATTACCCGCACGGCCAGTTGGCCATCGCAACAAGCAATTATACTTCATCCAAGACCAAGAGTAAGCCAGCTAGCATCTAGCAATGGCGGCGGCGGCCAAGGTCGTCCTGCTCGTGGCTGCTGTCGTGGGCACCGGCAGCTGCTCCTGCGCCGCATGGGATCTGAACATTATCCGGATGCCCACGGCGCGCACGATAGAGGCGGCCGCGGCCGCTGATCCACGTGCTGCACCGGGTGCTGGGCTCCGCCGGAGACCTGGGCCAGCGCGCCGGCGTGCCGTGCGACAGCTGGCGGCTGGCCGTGGAGGCCTACAACAAGCGCGACTGGAAGACGGTGCCCGCCAACTGCGACGACTACGTCGGCCACTACATGCTTGACCGGCAATATCGCCGGGACTCCCGCGTCGTCGTCGACGAGGCCATCGCGTACGCCGAGGGCCTCAAGGTCGCCGGCAACGGCAAGGAGGTGTGGGTGTTCGATATCGACGAGACCTCGCTCTCTAATCTCCCCTACTACGCCAAACACGGCTTCGGGTACGTTCGTACATGTACATAGTTTACATACACACACGGACGTAAAACTATATAACACGCTACGTGCTAATTGTAACCAGCCTGCTAATCAGCATGTTTCATTTCTTGATCACAGTACTAAGCCGTACAACGCGACGAGCTTCAACGAGTACGTGCTGGAGGGGAGCGCGCCGGTGCTGATGGGGACGCTTCGGCTCTTCAAGAAGCTCATCTCGCTCGGCATCAAGCCGGTGTTCCTGATCAGGTTCAAAATTTCGGCGAAATTTCGGCCGAATTTTACGAAATTCGGTAATTTCGGTGGTGGCCGAAAGAAAACTTTGAAATTTTTTAATAGACTAATACATGTGCTATATAACTCTAATCTTATATTTTTCTATTATTTATATTGCATATTCTTCTATTTAATAGATATGTAGTCATAAATCATACTAATATTTGTTTAGATCCAATTTTTTTTAGAGAAAACATACTTCATGTGCTAATCTCTAAAAAAATTTCGGCAAAATTTCGGCCGAATTTCATGAAATTCGGTAATTTCGGTGATAGCTAAAATTTTGACGATATCGAAATAAAAAACCTTGTTACTGACGGGTCGCACCGAGGACCAGAGGGCCATCACCGTCACCAACCTCCGCCGCCAGGGCTACTCCGGCTGGGAGAAGTTGCTGCTCAAGCCCATCGGCTTCAAGGGCACCGCCATCGGCTACAAGTCCGGTGCACGCCAGAAGCTGCAGAACGCGGGTTACGTCATCGTCGGCAACATCGGCGACCAGTGGAGCGACATCCTCGGCGCGCCAGAGGGCGCGCGCAACTTCAAGCTGCCCGACCCCATCTACTACATTGGCTAATTAAGCTAGGGCGACAGGCAACGCAACTTCGAGCTGCCCGATCATCCAATGGCCGATCCGTCCATCTTGTTGCAAAGATAGCTTGTTATGAGATGAACTGCTTTTAGATTATTGTTATAATCACTACTACAGAATGGACTTGTTGTCCCGGACGATAACGGCCTTTAGTCCCGGTTACCACGCCGGGACAACGATCCCGGGACTAAAGGTGCCTTTTTAGTCCTGGGTCATCGAGCCGGGACTAAAGAGGGACCTTTAGTCCCGGTTGGTGTGTTACCAACCGGGACTAAAGGTCCTCCAGCCGAGCAAACGTGGCCGCACCCTTTAGTCCCGGTTGGTAACCCCAACCGGGACTAAAGGTTCATTTTCTTTTTCTTTTTTTTTTGTTTAATTTGTTTTCAGTTCAGTTACACATATTTATTTAATATATAATATGTTTTTATGTACGTATTATACGCTGCTAATATAAATACACGCACACATATAATTACATCTAATTCTCATCCCGAGCATTATTATATTCGAATAAAGTATGAACCTATATATATTATAGATATATATATGTATATATACAACACTTTCATAATCTTGTTCTAGAAAATAACGATATCAATAAACATTTAATTTACATCATTTATTCCTTAGGATCAAAGTAGAATTCGCCGTTAGGATTTAGCACTTTTTCTAGAAGAAAACCTGCTATTGACTCTTGAACTGCTTTCAGATGGTCTTTTTGCATGACCCTTCGTTTCAACCATTCAGTCTTGCATTTGAAATAAAAGAAAAAGTATTAATACATATATATATATATATATGTATTCATTTAAAAATAAATAAAAATTTGATATATACGTACTCTGAGGACATCTTCAGGAGTTCTTCTTATGTGCGCAGTGATAAATTCACAAACGTAGTATCCACACAAGTTATTACCTGGTTGCTGCCGCAAACACCACTGTACGAGAAGAAAATTATTCTCATCATCTCACACATAAATTGAAGTACGATATAGTAATTAAACACGTGGGGAAGTGTATATAGTACAACTTACTGTTATTTCAACTACATTAAGTGGTGCCTTGCAATCCTTGCGATGTTGCCGAATATACTCTTTCCAAACCCTGTGCGACCAATAATGTACGATCGTTAATAAATTATGGTAAAGTCTATTCAATAATAGTTGTGCGCGAGAGATCGAAATTACCCCTGGATAATGTCTATCATATCTTGGTATAGTGCCCGCTCTTTTCTCAACGAGTCAAAGATTACTAACCGACTTGAGTTTAACTCAATGACAATGAGTATCCAGTGAAACCTGCATTGGTTTATACACACACGTACATGCATATAAGTTGTATTGATATTACATAAAATGTGTAGACTACATTATTATTAACACTTACTCAAAGTTATACGGGAAAACTATTGTTGTCCTGTCGTACTGCTTCACGAAGAACATCATGATATTCTCCTGTGCTTCAGATATCCACCGCTCCTTGACAATAATACCGGTTTTGAATGCGATATAAGGATCAATGAAGCCAACACTGGTGTCTTGTATTCTTTGGAGCTCTGACATCTGGAATCTGTATATAAATATAAGTTACATGTGAGGATAATTATATACACGTACGCATGGAAGTGAGTTTATTAAATAAAAGTAAGAATCACTTACAAACAAAAGGAGCTAATGATTGATTTGTCCAGAGCGTCCATGTGGTATAGTTGATGCAATTCTTCGAAACTAATATGTAAGATGTCATCGCCACGGAAGTAATGATGGTCTCTAAATCTGACAAAGATCCACTGCTCACCCCTGCCACATGCCTGCATGTACCACTTGTTGAGCAAGTATATTTGCGTACCAAATTCATTCAGAGTCATAGGTTGTACAGGACTTTTTGCCATATTTATAAGTCTTCCGTATCAACTTCCGTTACGGATTGAGCTTTACCCATCAATTGATCCAAGGTTAAACCAAAGATCTTAAAAAAAGCATTAAGGGCTTGAACCGACACTTCTCGAGAGTTGTCTGGTCGATAGACTTCTATGTTGGAACCATATTCATTAGCAACAACAAGATTTTGCATTGGTTGCTTCTGTTGTTCGAGCTGTGGGACATCCTTCCCTGATGCTCTTTTCCTTTTCTTATCTCCATCATATGACTTCACGAGGGAGCGGTCATAGTCTGATAGTGGCGAAGGTTTACGAAGTTCAATCATCTTTTTCTTGTGAGCATCGACCTTCTGCCTCAGCACATCTCGTGGTATGTAAAAGTACGGCTTCTCCTTAAGCTTCGCTTGACTCTTGTTTTTGATATCTATAAAAAAATCTTTCACTTTTTTGTCTTCTTCAGCTGCTATTTGCTCATCAGTCTTTTCAGGAAGTATTTTTTGAGAAATAACTCTTTTTCTCGGGGTCTTCTTTCCCGCCGGGACCTTAGACGTCTTTGTAGTGCGTCGCTGTGGAGGGGGGGGCGGTGTTGGAGACCGGCGTGGAGGCGATGAGGCCGGTGTTGGTGGAGACCGGCGTGGAGGCGTTGGAGATCGTTATGGAGAAGGTGGGGCCGGTGTAGGAGTTGGAGATCGTTGTGGAGAGGATGGGGCCGGTGTAGGAGTTGGCGATCGCCATGGGGATGAAGTCGTCTCTTCATGACACTGCATGATGAGATGGGGAATGAATGATTGGGCTAGGCTAGGGGAGACCTGCTACAAAAACAAGTTGTGTGTCAATTATTTTTGAAGCCAATAGAAAATTAATGGAAAATAATATTTCATTCACTTTCATTCGCATTACTAGGGTGAGGTAGGGGAAGCGGTGGCGCCCAGAATGATGATGAAGCGCTTGCGCCATTGAATAAATGTCTTCTCTGCTTCTCCTAGTGTCTTCTCCCATCACCGCCTTCAATGTCAAGAGGAACATTGTCAGAACCTTTGAGCACTCTATCGATCGAGACGCTAGCATATCCAAAGTTGAATAACTCGACCCATGGATTCTTGGTGTCTTTGTTCGGTCTATTGGAGATACAACCCCGACAAACCACCATGATTGATGCATTATTACCATCTGGAATGTGCAGCTCACATGTTGTTAGAGGCTCGGTAATGTCATCAAGAGGGAAGCGCAACCCAGCGTCATCTTGAATAACTGGCAGCTCCATGGAAGCACAACTACTTTTCATCTGACCAACGGGGCTAATGGTGACTCCCGGTGTTGATTGTGATTGCATTTGACTCATTGCTAGCTCCACTTGCCTCTTGATCTCCTCCTGCATTCTTGCCACAAGAGATTTTTCTCGTTCACGTGATTCAAACAATGCTTGTCGTGACTCATCAACAAATTGCTCTAATGCACTGATTCGTTCTGCCTCCTCATCCTTCTTTCTCTGGCGGCTTCTGTAGGTATCCTTGTCTGCTGGGAATGCGTGTAGCCACGGAACCGCCCCATAGCCTCTTGTTCGACCACCGTGTTCGGGATTCTCTAGAGCATATGTCAATTCATCCTTCTCTCTGTTGGGCTTGAAAACACCACTATCAGCTTCTTTCCTAGCACAAGCTAGTCTCTGTGTTGCTCTCTCAATTTTTTTGCCGAAAATTAGCTTGCTAGTGTCTGGGTCTAGGCTTCCCCCATGAGCGTAGAACCAATTCTTCGCGCGTTGAGGCCAGTTATTCTCTATTGTTTCAGGTATGATTCCCTTGGCAGTAATCTCTGCTTCTAGGTTCTGCCACTTGGGAATAGCACTCCTATAACCACCTGATCCCATGCGATGATGGTATTGCTTCTATCGGGCATTCTGCCGATTCCTCATCACACGTTCCTCACTGTCTTGAGATGTCTTATATTCTACGAAGGCATCCCAATGGGACTCCAACTTGACAAACGCCTTAGCATTGAAATCCGGCGTAGCATTCTTCAAGATAAACTTTTTATACAATGTCTTCTTCCAACTCTGGATAAATGTTGCCATCTTCTTCATTGTCCAATCCCTCACTAGCTCCTTCAAAGCATCATCTGCTTGTAATGTGAAATGCTGAGTGATATCTCTCCCAAGCTAGGTTCTTGTCACGATCAGATACAAAACTAACATTAGGAGCGGATATCTTCTGCTTCCATTCACGAGCACTAACTGGGATCCTATCCCTTACAATGAACCCACATTGATTAACATATGTCTGAGCATGTGGTCCCAATGGTTTGCCGGTGTCGGTGTCGAATTCTGATATTATGAAACGGCCCTCTAATGACTTTTTTGGCCCTCGGACTTTGCTACTTTTGTCGGTGGTTGATGTAGATCCAGAGACCGGCTACATGAGTAGAAACACAACGATTAACAACAAATATACGTACGCATGCATCTATAAGAGATGATAGATAATCGAATATACCTCGCCAGTATTTTCTTGCACGACAATTTATTGATCTTCAACCACCGGCATATTCAGGATATCCTCATAATCAGCAACGTACTGACTCGTGTCATCTACATCCACATTGGTGCCGGCGTTGATAATATCCGCCATTATGTCATCACTCAAGTTATCATCCGGAGTAGCCATTTGTATCTTCAAGATAACACATAGATAGAATTACTATGGTACATAACATAAGTACATGTGATAACACATATAGAATTACTAAATCTAATTAAATATAATAACACATAATATTTCATAAGGATAAACAATAATAAGGTATAGGCTTTGGAATCGAATCAAAAACACTTTCGATCCAAAAACATGGAAATAAGTACATGTATATATATACACATAGAATGATACAATATATTTTCTCTCTCTCTCAACACATAGAAATAAGTGCATATGTCTATATCTCTAGATATGCATGTGATAACACATAGAATGTCTCTCTAGATACAATTTTCTCTCTCTCAACATATGAAAATAAGTACAGGTATATATACATATAGAAATAATTAAGTACATATGTATACATATAGAATCTCTCTCTAGATATATATAGAGAGATAGAATATATAATTA